ATCCTTTCAGTGCATTTTCAAATCACACTAGATGCCTCATCTGCTTCTTGAGGTAGATAAACCTCTGAAATCCTGGCCTTTGGTGTGTTGGTTTTAATCCTCCAGTTTCTATTTAGTTTAAGAGTTGTGTATTGGCTGTGGCTAGTGCATATGCCCTTGTTTAGGGGAAATGCTTGCTTTTAGTTGTGGTGTTATCACTATGATATTTCAGTAACAAAGACTTAGGAGACCTAATCAAATGTCAAAAATGCTGTTTCTATGAAAAACGGAAAGAAAATGTTGGGGGAGAGATTGTGAAACCATTCTGTTTTCCAGCATCAGCATCATATATTGGTATAATAACCTCTGTCTTCATTTTCTTTTTTCAAAAGGGGAAAGTTACGTCTGTTCATCTGACAACTTTTTCAAGAAGGTGGAGTATACCAAGAATGTGAACCCCAATTGGTCTGTCAATGTGAAGACATCAGCCAACCAGAAAGCACCTCAGTCTCTGGCCAGCAGCAATAGCGCTCAGGCAAAGGAGAACAAGGATTTTGTGCGGCCCAAGTTGGTGACCATCATCCGTAGTGGGGTGAAACCCCGAAAGGCTGTTCGTGTGCTCTTGAATAAGAAGACTGCGCACTCGTTTGAGCAAGTTCTTACTGATATCACTGAAGCTATAAAACTGGAGACAGGAGTGGTCAAAAAGCTGTATACTTTGGATGGGAAACAGGTAAGGCATTTTGCGAACTCCTTTTCTTTCTTTTAGCTAATTTTATTACATTGCTGACTAACGTGAACAATTTCTGAAGCCTATAATTAACCTGAGAGAGCCAGTGCCATCTGTTTTTCAGAAGCCAGACTTCTCATGCTAGTGGTTATGTTACTAAATTGTCTCTGGTATTAATATCAGGCAAAGAATGCAGCCAACCGTCTGGGTGAAACAGATGCACTGTCCTGAACACCCGGGAGTTTTGCATGTTCTCCAAATAGGTTCCTAAATAAACAAATAATTCAGGTGTCTTGGACTGTAGGTTGACTTGGCTCCTAGATAATCATAGCCAAGATATACTGAAAGTATTAGATCAAAATCTTCTACTAGATCAAAGTCTTCTGCTTGACTATCTTTGTTCTTGCCAGGGAGCTAATAAGGATAAACTAACTCAAGAGTAACTCTTCTGACTAGCTCTGTAGCTGGCAGGAAAATCTATGGGTCATGTGGTACCTTCATGGGTAAAAATGTGAACCTTCAGTAGGGTGGATTATTATGAAATGCCTCAGCTGTACTTATGCTGATGACTCGGGGACATTTTTGAAGCGTGCCTCATTGCTGTGGATGGGTAGCAGACCATTTAATGAGGTCTTACAGTTGCAGTGGAGTCCCCCTGAAGGAGTGTGTGTTATACACTCTGGAGCAACTAAGGGACTTCATGTGGGAAAGCTGTTTGGTTAACTGGACAGCTGTCAGTGGCTCCTGGAATTGAAGTGAACATTTTTAGCCTCTGTTGCTATTTTGTTTCTTTTCTGAAAGAGAGGCCATAGCTGAGATGATGAAGCCTCAATGAAGGTTAAATAGAACAATCTACTCATAGTGGAGATTGTTATTCTGGATTTAACTCCATTACCTATCTTCTGAAGAAGATATGAACCTTAATATTGGCTCTTGAAGAATAAGCCAATAGTTACATAACATGCTTGATATAAAAAACAGAAGTGCTGCGTTAATCTGCAATGTATGTTAGTCCCTATATTTCCTTGGGTTCAGAATGTAAACTAACGTTCAGCCCAGATTAATTGCTTTGCCTCAGTATCTGGGTTCTCACATGTTAATAGTTTATTATGACTTAAGAATGGGAACTTCTCATTGGCCTGTCAAAACTAGTCTTTCAAATTGTGTCAACTCTGCATTCCCCACTCACCATGGTTTATAGTCTGATAACTGATGCATCTGTTACCATGTTCAAAACCTCAGGGTATTGTCAAATAAACCAGCGATACAGTTACTGATGTAGATGGAATATCTACATGGAAGAAGAGCAAGGGGAAAAGAAAGAGAGGTTTAAAATGGGTGAAGGAAAGGGATAGGCAAGAGAAATCGAAGAAGCAGGCAGAGCAATGTCACCTGACCTGTTGGCCACAATCTAGTAAGGTAAGTAAGTGTGTGTGTGTGTGTGTACACACCTATATAATTAAATATTCTATATATCACACAAACACATACATATTAGGGCTGTACGAAGCTTCGGGTGGTGATTCAATTCGGAGGAGATTCAGCCTGATTCAGTGGCTGAATCTCTGAATCGAATCAGGGGACCAATTTAAAGGTCCGAATCGAATCAAAGCTCTCTGAATCTTCGGAAGAGATTCGGAGAGCTTTGATTTGGGCAGTCCCTGGTGGCTGCAGCAAGGAGATGCAGCCGACTCCGAGCTGCAAGTAAGTCCTAGGGGCAGGGGGAGGCGGTGCTGGGGGAAGGGACCATGGGGGGACCCCTGCCAAGCCCCCCAACCCGCTCCCTCATCCTCCCTATGCTCCCTTTGGCCGCCCCCCCCGCCCCCCCTCAGTACTAAAAAAAAAAAAAAAAAAAAAAAGCCCCAGTGCTTACTGGGTGCTGCCAGGCAGGGGGGCAATCTCTGCTGCCCCACACTGCTCCATGATGCATGGGGGTCTCTGCCATGGGGGAGCTGGACAGGCAGGGCAGCCATTGCTGAGCTGGGAGAGCAGGCGGGGGATAGGCCAGCAGCTGAATCTCTGAATCAGATTCAACTGAATTAAATCGGGACAGTGATTCAAATCACCGAATCAAATCGCTGTCCCCCAAATCGGCCAAATCTGAACTGAATACTAGCCGCTTCGTGCAGGCCTAATACATGTACAGTCTCTATCTCTGGTATCTATTCCATAAATTCTTGTCTCATGAGAAGTTTTGAATGCATAATTCTGACAGATAGTCAGTTTTCTGAAAAGATGTACTGTATTTACCTGAATCCAAGATGACTTCAAGTTTAAGATGACCCCCCCCCCCAATAATTAGATTATATAAATGGAAAATTATAAATTTATAATACTTTTCTATTTGTAGAATCTTATTATTGGAGGGTCATCAAAAATTTGTTCCCAACCAGAGGGGTAGGCAGCCTGACCCCTGTACTTTGCTCCCCCATACATGCCCCACAACATGTATTTCTGCTGTCTGCCCCACCCAACCCAACCCTCTATCCTTGCTCCTGCTGCTGCCCCATCTCCTACCCCATCCCCCATTTGCACTGTTGTCCACCCCCTTCCCCCATGCACTGCTGCAGCAGCTTCTGACCTGCACCGCTGCCCTGTTTCCTGACCCATATTTCTTGATCTGCCAGCAGCGTGGGTTGGGGAGGGGGCCACCCATCCCTGCTCAGTTCCCCCACCGATGCAGCCATTTATTCCCTCACCCATGCTGCTGCCTATCCTCTGCCTGATCCTCCACCTGCATTGCCATCCATTTTCCACCCACGCTGCCATCCAATCCCTGACCCTCGTCCTGGCCTTTGATCCACACTCACCGCATTGCTGCTGATTCCATGTCTCCAAGTGGCAGTGGCAGCTCCACCCTTGCCCTGGGGCAGTGCCGGGATGCCAATACACAGATCCAAGACAAGGCTTGTTTTTCCTTGTGTTGACTGAGGGAGGGAAAACCTTGTCTTGGATTCAAGTAAATACAGTGTTTATGCAAAATCCCAAGATGCTCAAAGCTGAAACAGTGACAAAAACCCTATTACCATAGCAGTATTTCTCCTTCTTATGTATGTTTGTATACCTAGATACACATACAATGGGACTACTCATGTGAGTATCAGTATATGTATGTATGCACATGCACACACAATTATAATTCTGAAATCATGTATTTAAGTGTATATATGAGAGGAAAGTATGTATCTGTACCTATATGTATAGATAGATAGATAGATATGTTTAAAAAACATATATGTGCATGTATGAGAGAGAGGGGACTGCAGAATATATCTCTTCTTCATGGTCACCTTGCAGGGGGTTTTGAAAGTGCAGCTTCCTGATGTGTTATGGGTGACAAGCTGTTGAGTGAAGTCCTGCTGCTGCTTTCATGTCCCACTCCAGAGATGAACACTATGTAGTCTGGGACCCTAGAGCAGCTTCCATGTATTGGTGTGAGAAAAGCATTGCAGCATTAGACCCTTTGAGTCAGAGTTAATCTTTTTCTTCCACATGCCAGTGTCTATAGCTGCCATGCTGCACATGTGCGCTTCTAAATCCTTACTGTGGGGATTCCAGTCTTCTTGTAGTAAATGGTTTCTTGATCTTAATAGAAGTACTGGTGAAACAAAGTTCTTTTCAGTGTGAGTAACTGTATCACAGTTTGGCGCTCAATAGGTACTCAGTCCTTGCTCCAGAAATATCCATGAAAGTTTCACAGAGAGAGGATATTTTATCTAGTATGCTGTCTAATACTGCCCTGGACTATGTGCTTTACTAATGACTGCAAAAAACCGACTCTTTCAGATCCATCCACTTTAATTGCATGTGAATTTACATGTCTAGTATATTTTCGAAGAATGTCATTTCATGAAAAGAAAAAATGATATTTGTAATTTTATTTACAATTTGATCATGATGATTTTCTATCACATACCTGATTATCAGGGATCCGGGTTTTCCGTTTCCCATGGAAAAACAGAGTAAAATGTGGATTTCCCCCTTTCATTGGCTTCATAGACATTTGAGCTGGAAGGGACCCCAAAGGATCATCGAGTCCAGCTCCCGGCCCTAGAGGCAGGAGGTCAGCAGGGATCATAGGATCCCAGCAAGATAAGCATCCAAATGTGTCTTGAAGGCATTCAAAGTAGGTGCTTGAACCACCTCCGGCAGCAGTCTATTCCAAACCTTGGGGGCTCGGACAGTAAAGAAGTTCTTCCTTATGACCAGCCTGAATCGGTCACAGTGGAGTTTGTGACCGTTCAATCTTGTCATCCCTTGGGGCGCTCTGGTGAACAGATATTCCCCCAGATCCTGGTGAACACCCCTGATGAACTTATAGGTGGCCACCAGATCGCCCCTGAGCCGGTGCTTTTCCAGGCTGAATAGTCCCATGGCTCTCAGCCTCTTTTCATAAGGCCTATTCCCTTGCCCTCTGATCATGCGCGTGGCTCTCCTCTGGACTCTCTCAAGCTTCTCCACATCCTTTTTGAATTGTGGAGCCCAAAACTGGATGCAGTAGTCCAGCTGCAGCCTCACCAAGGCCGAGTACAACAAGAGAATGACGTCCTGGGATTTGCTTGACATGCCTCCAGGATTTGTTTACTGGAGGAAAACACGGATTTCTCATTTTAGCAGAGACGCCTGTGGATTTTGCAGTTTTGCAACAAGCTCTCTGCATGCTGGCAGAGTTCCAGCCTGCAAAGGGCTGGGAAGGAGCAGGAGGAGGGCAGTGAGGCCCTCCCAGATGGATTCAGGAGGGGAACAGCCAGGCCTAGAGTCAGTGAGGATCTAGTTAGGGAACTTCTGGAGGGGCTGGACGTGTTCAAGTCAGCAGGTCCAGACGATCTCCACCCCAGGGGGCTGAGGGAATTGGCAGAGGTCATTGCGGGACCCCTGGCACAGCTTTACGAGCACTCATGGTGCTCTGGCCAGGTGCCAGAGGACTGGAAAAGGGCCAATGTGGTCCGCATTTGCAAAAAGGGGAGAAAGGAGGACCTGGGTAACTATAGGCCTGTTAGTCT